GCACAGCTGGGTACTACTTTATAGTATGTTCATTCTACTCACTGGGGTTTATGCCTAGGGTCAGATTTGGGTACATGTATAGGTATGTGTCAGCTGTGCTAGCTATTGGATATATTTAGACTAATTAAGTTCATTGGCAGAACAATTGAATGGGGGGGGGCAGAAGGCATGGAGGGCAACCATGGATGCCAGGGACAATGGAGGAGGAAGATGGGACATGGCAGAGGGTGGGGGATGGGGAATCAGGGATGGCAAGACAAAGGGCAAGGTATGTAGGATGTAAGAATTGGAAAATTATTTGCTGAGAACATGTATGTTGATGTGCTTGACTGAACCAATGCACAGTGTATTTTGGATGGAAAATTCATTGGTGTGTTGTGATGGTGTATAGTGAATTAATAAAAAAAAAAAAAAAGATAGAAATATAGAGAGATAGAAGGAAGGTGAGAAAGCAAGCCACCAGGTCCAGGATTCGAACCATGGTCGGCCATGAGGGAGTGTCCAGTGCCTTAAACACTATGCCACCTGCTGGTCCCGGAACACAATCCTTTCATGGAAGTCAGCAGTCATTCTGACCCAGATGTATGTATGTTATAGTTTTTACATCCTCTTTTTCCCTCAACAATTTCACCAGAACCCACTATATAAATGACATTCTGATACATGTTCTAGTCAATGAGATAACAATGTTTGTTCAGTGTTTAAAATCTCCAAAATGCCATATGAGTGGATCAGAAAGTTCATAGAAGAGGCCAATGGCACAGGAGTAAAATGTGATGCTCTGTGAGGCAATCCGACATGGGAAGGTTTCCAGTTCAAGTCTGGAGACCTCCTTGAATAGACCAGGCACATATTTGCCTATTTTCTGGGGCTGGCTGAAGACTAAGGCTGATCACAGTGTAAAAGCCATGTCGGGGCTGCCGTCTCTCTCTGTCTCCTTTACTCACAGAAGAGATCATTAAATACGCTAGGGAAAAAAAAGAGAAGTTTGGGACAGCTCTATAAGGCTGTAACCACTGTTAAGGGAGCTGGATCCCATGTGGCTGACCACAGTTCGAATCCCAATGACAGCACATGTGCTCAAAATCCTAACGGGAAGAAGGAATGGAGAAAAAAGAATTGCAGTGTGACTGCCCATTAGAAAGTCCTTTCTCTCTCTCTCTTCCTCTCTCTTTCTCTCTCTTTCAGTGAGTGAATATATCCTCTGGGAATAAGAAAAAAAGTACATGAGGGATCAGCAGTTAGCATAATGGCTATGTCGCTGGACTCCCATGTAGTCGACCGTGGTTCGCGTCCCGGACACGGTGGCTTAAAACTCACGCCAGGCGCGTGTGTGTGTGTGTGCTCAAGATTCCGAGAGGAGAATGGAGGAGAAGGGATTGCGGCGTGACCATCCCCCCTGGGGGGTGATTTCTCGCTTTCTGTCTCTCTGTCTCTGTCTGTCTTGTGAGCGCACGCGCCCTATAGCAAAAAATCTCTCAAAAAAAAAAAGTGCATGAAAAATTAGCATTATGAAAAACTTACACATGGATTTTAAAAACTTTTGTACCAAAATAAACTCATACTTTCTCTTTCTTTCTTTCTTTCTTTCTTTCTTTCTTTCTTTCTTTCTTTCTTTCTTTTTTTTTTTTTTTTTTTTTTTTTTAAGGTTTTTGCCATAGGGAACATGCACTCACCAAAAAGAGAGAGGGAGTCAGTGAGAAATCACCCCTAAAGTAATGGCCACACCATAACCCCTTCTCCTCTATTCTCATCCTGGGTTTTCTGGCACGCATACACATGTGCCCAGCACAATTTTCAAGCTGCCAGTTATAGGACTTGAACTGTGGTCAGCCATGTGTGAGTCCAGCCTCTTAACTACCATGCCACCTGCTGTCCCCTTTTTAAAAAAATTTTTTGCCATAGGATGCATGTATTTGCTGGAGAGATAGAGAGACAGAGAGAGGGAAAGTGAGAGATCACCTCACAGGGGATGGTTGTGTTGCAATGCATTCTCCTCTCCGGACTTTGGGCACACATGCACATATACCCTGCATGGTTTTCAAGTCACTGGGTCTGGAACTCTAACCGTGGTTGGTTATGAGGGAATCCAGCACCTTAACCACTACGTCACCTCCTGGCCTCCCAAAATACACTTATATTTTAATTTCATTTTCCCACAAACAAAAGTCTCCTCATATATGTAAACTATCATAATGACCATTTCTTTTTTTTTATTCATTCATGTATTTTTAATTTGACAAACAGAGACGGGGAGTGAGAGAGAGAGAGAGAGAGAGAGAGAGAGAGAGAGAGAGAGAAAGTGACAAAGCAAGCCCCAGGTCCAGGACTCGAACCATGGTGAGCCATGAGGGAGTGTCCAGTGCCTTAACCACCATGCCAACCTGCTGGTCCCCATAATGACCATTTCATAATGAACACAGTTAAAAAAACTGTTATAATTATTTTTCTTTTCTTAAAAAATTTCCTGAGGGTGTGTATGCTCAAGAGAGAAAGGAAAAAATACCCCAGGGGGGTGTGGTCATATCACCATCCTTCTTCCTTCACTTCTACATCTGCTGGGATTCTGGGCATGCACAAACAATGTCCAGTGTATTTTCCAAGCTGCTGAGACTAGAACTTGAACTGCGGTCAGCCATGTGGGATCTGGCTTCCCCCAGCCACTTGCCTATGGGGCTGGCCCATGAATAGCCCCCTTCTAAGAGTTATTATTTTTCATTGAGAGTTTTTCCTGTCCATCTGGTCAGTAGCCCCTGGTAGAAGGTTCCTGGCTTACCTGAGACTTGAAGTAAGTTTCTTGTGGGGTGGCAAGTACATCTGCAGAGGCGATGTCCAAATGCATGAGTGTCTGCCGAAAAGAAGGCCGGTTGCGAGGTTTACTCTGCCTAAAGGTAAAAAAGACAGTTCGCGCATTTCAGTTGTGTCCAGAAGAGGAAGGTATTATTCTACTTCATGGAAAATATTTCTTACTCCAAAATGTCTACATGTCAGACAGGTCTGACCTGCTGAAAAGACAAAGCAAAATGCAGTTATGGATAGCCCTAAGGACGAGGTGGGGACCCAGACTCAGGACCTATCTGGTAACAGTCCATTAGGACTGGTCCATTGACAACAGCTGTCATTTACTGGGGCTGCCATATCAGACACCGTACCAATTCTCTCTTTATGAATTTCAGTTAAGCACAAACCAGTTCTATTAGTGGGTGCTGTTTCTGCTTTACAGATGAGAAAACTGACAGTTGGATGACATGCTGAAAATCACACAAGTAGAAAAGGGCAGAGCCAGTATTTGACCTTCAGGTTCTCAGACTCCAAGGATCCTTGTGTTTTCCTCACCAGACGGAAATACACTTCAAATACACATCAGCGATCCCTCCCTGCTGTTTTGGGGAAGGAGGAAGGCAAACGGATATTGGAGGAAATGTATTTCTTACCATGTCTGCTTCATAAGGATTTTGAATCCATCAGGGCAAGTGGAAGGGACTGGAAGATGCAGGCTGTTGCTTCCAACACCCCAAATAATGGCTGAAGAATCTACATCTTTGTATGGGATCTCTCCTGTCAGCAGCTCCCAGAGCACCACTCCAAAAGACCTGCAGTAGTACCAGAAAGGAGCACAGAAGACACTTCAGAAAGACTGATTTGCATTTTAGTTCTTTATTCATTTTTAATTGAATTAATACATATATCTAATTTCAAAATTCCAATACTGCTATATGAAAAACAGAAATATTTGGAAAAAAACCTCTAAAAAAGAAAATCATTGAAGCCTAATCAATACTATTTTTTTTTTTTTGAGAAATGTTTGCTATAGGGTGCATGTACTCACCCAAGAGACAGAGAGGGACAGACATAGGAAATGGGAAATCACCCCCCAAGGGGAATGGCCACTCTGTAATCCCTTCTCCTCCAATCTCCTCTTGGGATTTTGGGTGCACACGCAAATGGTGTGAGTTTTAAGCCTCTAGGTCCAGCACTTGAACAGCAATCAACCACGTGGGAATCCAGCAACACAACCATTACGCCACCTGCTGGCCCCAATATTAAGAGACATTGCAAGACCTCAGTAATGGACTCTGGCGCGTGAATAGATAGTCAGACAACTAGGCGGGCACAGAAATAGAGCAAATATCTACAAGGACAAGTATACTGTAGAAGTGCCATTGCAAACTATTGTAGTAAGAAAAAAACGATTACTCAATAAATGCTGTGGGGATAACTAGGAAAAAGACTAGATCTCACCATGAATCGAGATAAATTCCAAATGAATCAAATATTTAAATGTGAAAAATAAAACCATAAAAATTCTAGATGGGCCAGCCCCATAACCAAGTGGTTAAGGGAGCCAGATCCTATTTGGTCTGCTATGGTTTGAGTCCCAGTCCTACTGTGAAATGTATTCATGTTGGGTAAATTCAACTGACAAGCAAAGTGACGCATAGTGACTAAGTGTGTAAAATAAAAATTAAAAAAAAAAAAAAGAAAAACATGCCCAGCTAGTGGGCACGTGTGCCCCAAGTGGAGAAATGGAGAAGGGACTGGGGCGTGACCATGCCTGTCACAGGGCGCTTCCTCCCTCTTTCTCTCTCGGGTGAGTGCACAGATCCTCTGGTAATTTTGAACAACACAAATGAATAAACAAACAAACAAAAACCACTCTGGTTTTGGAATTAGGATCCCTGGCCTCAGCTGCTGATTTGAGGGGGGAAAATAAATCCTTGAAAACATGGGGAAATTTCTTTTATAATCTTGGCATGATGAAGGTTTTCTAACTATGCAGTCTAGAAGCTGTAACGGAGATATTGAGAAGTGGAACTGCATTACAGAGCCTGGCACGGAGGGCTGCTCCGGCAGAGCACGAGCAGTCAAGTGCACCACGGACACTGGGTCTCAGGCTGACCAGGGCTCCAGTCCTAGCCCTGTCGGCTTGAAAAATACGTCGGGGGATGTAAGTGTGCGCCAGTATCCTGCCAGGATGGAGAATTGGAGGGAAAAGGATTGTGGTGTGACCAGGCCCCGGGGGAGGGGTGTGCGCACCCCCACCTCAAGTCATCAAGTGCATGTACATGCCCTCTGGCATTAAAAGAAGCTGGAAAAAAAAAAAACCCACAAGAACCACCATAAGCTAAATAGTAAAACAGCAAAATGTGATAATATCTGCAATAATCTCCTGAACATACCAAGTCCATTATAAATTGATACGAACAAACATCAGAAGTCCAAGCAAAGGATATGAATCACTCACAAATAACCTTACATATAATAAGAGGAACCCAAATTGAAACTATATTTAAGATACAACTTTACTGGTATAATTGGCAAAAATCCAAAAACTTAGCTTATTTTGGGAGGGTGGGAAACTAAGAAAACACTTTCATACATCTCTTGTGGATTATAAATTGGTATAATCCCTACAGAGGACTCTTCGGTAATAACTTCCCATATTATCAGTAGTCCCACGTTTCTACTTTATTCTATTTACTGTGGTGTTACATACACTTTTTTTTTTGAGATTTTTTGTTTGTTTGTTTGTTTGTTATAGGATGTGTTGCACTTGCCAGAAAGACAGAGAGACAGAACGTAAGAAATCACTCCCCAGGGGGTATGGGCATGCCACAATCCCTTCTCCTCTGTTCTTCTCTTGGGATCTTGGGCATGCATGCAAATGTGCTGGTATTGAGTTTAAGCCACTGGGCCCGGGACTTGAACCGCAGTAGATAACATGGGAATTCAGAGACATAGCCATTATGCCAACTGCTGGTCCCATTACATATCCTTTTTTTTTTTTTTTTAAAAAAGAATTAATTTTATTTATTTAAATTTGACCAGAGATAGAGAAGGAAGGTGAGAAAGGAAGCTACCAGGTCCGGGACTCGAACCGTGAGCAGCCATGTGGGAGTTCAGCACCTTAACCACTATACCACCTGCCATCCCCCATTACATATACTTTTAAAAAGTTTTTTTTTTTTTTTTTTTAAAGTTTTTGCTGTAGGGTATGTGCTCTCACCAGAGAGATAGAGAAAGAGAAAGAAAAAGTGAGAAGTTGCCCCCCGGGGAGGACAGCCACTCCTCAGTCCCTTTTCCCCTACTGTCCTCTTGGGATTTGGGCATGCATTCACACCTGCCTGGCGTGTTTTTCAAGCCACCAGGTCCAGTATTCAAACCGTGCGCTTGGCCAACACATGATTTTAATATATGCTATTATTTTGGTTTTAACCTTAAAAGTTCTTAGTTGTCCATTTTAAAGGTAGAACAAAAAAATAAGTACAGGGAAAAATACTGTTAACAGTAAAGATTTATAATCTTAGAGGAAAAATTGATAAATATATAAAAAAGGGGGGGTGCTAAAAAAACAGCATAGCCTAAGGGTTATGAGAAAGAGAAAACAGTCCTACCCATCTCAAATAGCTCCAGAGCACTTACCCGTATCACAACACAGCACGTGACTAATGACAACGTACATAAGGATAATCTGAGACATCAAGAACAGGTAAACTCGGGACCAGCAGTTGGCGTAATGGCTATGTTGCTGGACTCCCACGTAGTTGACCGCGGTTCGCGTCCTAGACCCGGTGGCTTAAAACTCATGCTGGGTCGGGAACCAGCAGTTAGCGTAATGGCTATGTCGCTGGACTCCCATGTAGTTGACCACGGTTCGCATCCTAGACCCGGTGGCTTAGAACTCATGCTGGGCGAGTGTGCGTGCGTGCCCAAGATCCCAAGAGGAGAATGGAGGAGAAGGGATTGCAGCGTGGCCATCCCCTCTGGGGGGTGACTTCTCGCTTTCTGTCTCTTTGTCTCTCTCTGTCTGTCTGTCTGGCGAGTGCACGCGCCCTATGGCAAAAACCTCTCCACAAAAAAAAAGAAAAAAAAAGAATTTAGTAGGGACTATGCAAAAACCTTTCTGTGCATTGTTTTAACACACAGATAATCCTTTTGAGATTGATGGGTGCTTTTCATTTCATCCCCATTTTACTGATGAGTAAGCTGAATCACATACATAAATTAAGTAACCTACATTTCCTAGTAAGGGGTGGAAAATGGAAATAAACTCTTTAATAAAAATAGGTTTATTTTGCAAGACATTTTGGCTTGAGAAACCACAGCGTATCCTCTCAAAAAAAAAAAAAAAATCACACCTGGCATGTGTGGCTACACCCCGGAGAGGAGACTGGAGGAAGGACTGTGGATTGCAGCATGGCCATCTCCCCCCCCGGGGGGGATTTCTCATTTTCTCTCTCTTTCTTTCTCCCTCCCTCTCTGTCTCTCTCTAGTGAGTGCATGTACCCATAGCAAAAATAAAAAAGAAAAGAAAATAGGCGATCTTTGTTTAATGTATTTACTTAAGAAGGTGAGGATTATGCAATACATTTCAGAAAGACTTCTATACTAAAAGCTCACAGAAATAATGTTCAGTGTTTTAGAAAGTTCAGGATCTTCTTTGACGGTCCCCAAAACTGACGGTTACTGAAAGGATATTCACCCTGATTCTGCTCCTAATCCTTCTTACCATTTATCACCATACTGGGTAGTACCTCCAAGAATGAGCCTGAAATGATTCAGAGTGAGCAATGGGAAAGGGTATTCTGGGGAAGTAAAAATATTGAAGGAAGAATGTGTTAATAGGGTATAAGTTGGAAAACGGTTTTCTGGGTGGTTCAGATGACACCACTCACCATATATCAACTTTTTCGGAGACGGGCTCATTCCGAATCACTTCTGGTGCCATCCATGCAACTGTGCCAGCAAAGGACATCTTGGTACTTTTATCACTGAGCTCCTTAGATGTACCAAAATCTGAAATTTTTACTGCATCTGTGTGAGTCACTAAAACACTTTAAAAAGAAATAAAGAAAACACCCAGATCATTAGTAGCACTAAAAACCACGACTAACAGGCAACTGGAGATTTTGTTTGCTCCTTCCTGCCTGGAACTCAGTTTGCGGTTTCCAATACTGCGGGGCGTTGGCTACATGCCAAACAGCACCGCTCGTACTCTCAGGCTGCCGGGTGCAGCGGCTTTTAACACCGCCTCCGCACTGGCCAACTACCTAACTCCTCTAAGCCCGTTTTCTCATGAGGCAGAGACAATTCAGGTCATGATCTCATCGGCAACTCAAAGATGCAAAAGGCTCTCACAATGGTTTACCAGTACTTTTTCATATGTATAAGTTAAACTCACTGTATCTATTCCATTTTGTGTGAATACCATAGGTTTCGACGGATACGTTAAGGTGGCTGATTACAGGGATTTCAATCGATGCTAAGGCACCGTGTCACCGTGCCAAAATCATATGGTGCCAAGAGCTTTATCTCAGACAAGGGACTGTGGACCTGTAATAATGACCTCGTAAAATTGTTCCAATTAAATGAAGATATGTAATCCACCCATGCTTGACAAATATTGGTTTCCATCTTTGCTGATCTCAGCCAACCAACTAAGCAAAATGCTCTCTTTAAAAACATTGTTGGAGGAACCTGCAGATGGCATAATGGTTACATCACTGACTCCCACACAGCTGACCATGGTTCGAGTCCCAGACCCGGCAGCTTCATGCCTGGTGCGTGTGCATACGTGCCTCAAATCCCAAAA